ATTTTAATGATGTTGGCGTCAAGTGGATCCAAGTGCCGGCTTGACACTATGGAACCTCTAGGGGGCGTTATGGACCAACTTCTGCCGAATGCATCGCTTCAGATCTGTTTTCTCGGGTGCTGCACCCCCTTTCTGCGGGGGGGGGCGGGGGAGGAAGAGACGGGAGGATGGAAGAGTTCTGCCAAGTTTTAAGATACTGTTTTAAAGCCAGGCGGACAGGAAAAAATCCAAGCTCCTCAGTGTGACATCCTCGGCACAAGCATGATGCTCTAGGCGCAGGACCCCAAACCCACCCATTGAACTGTTCTAGTCTTACCTATGCTTGTCCTTCTGCCCAAGACCCCCTGTGCCCCTTCTCAGGCCCAGGTCCTCCTGCACTGGTCCCGTGCTCGCCTGTGCATTTTAACAGCCCAGGTCACTCTAGCGACGCTGAGTGGTATAAGTCCCCCCCCTCCACCACCACCACCATCCCACCCCCTGCCCACCACCACACTGTGGGGTCCACAGGGCAGAGCCTGTCTTTTAGTCTTTGCTTATTCTCTAGCACTGGGCACATGACAAGAGCCTTTCCCGTGGCTGTGAGCATGAATGTCCATGACAGGGAAAGATGAGGTCAGAGCTCTGGGCTGGTGGTCTGGGGTGAGCCTCTGCCTGGGCCAGAGAGGTCGGGCCTTCTCTGTGGACTGGGATCCGGCCTCCTCCACCTGTCACCACCAGCTCTCTGTCACCACAACTACAGCAGGCCCCAAATCCCTTCTTTCTTTCTTTCTTTTTTTTTTTTTTAAAGAACACATTTCTTGTTTAAAAGATTTTTTTTAAATTGCTTTTAGAGGAAGAGGGAGAGAGAGATAGAAACATCAATGAGGAGAGAGAATCATTGATTGGCTGCCTCCTGCACACCCCCTACTGGGGACTGAGCCTGCAATCCAGGCATGTGTCCTTGACCAGAATCAAACCTGGGACCCTTCAGTCCACGGGCAGACACTCTATCTACTGAGCCAAACTGGCTAGGGCCCAAAATCCCTTCTTCATGGAGAAGCTGCCACAGTTTGAGAGGAGAAATTTGCCAAAGGAACTAAGAGAAGTAATGAAAAATAAAAACACACATAGGCGTCCGAGAAACAGACTTACTGAATCTAAAGAAAAGGTGATTACCTTTGACCTTAAAGGCTGACCCACAATTTGCTCCCTGGCCTTCCACCTGCTGAGCCCAGCTGGCACCCTCATCACCCAGGGGCCTTATCCCTTGGTTGAGTGGTTCTAAGCCCTTCTCTGGGGCTGCAGGCCCTGAGAAGCCCAAAATGTCATCCTGGTTGGTTTCTTTCTAATCCACGTGGTTAGAATAGAACAGAAATCCATGTAAGTCAGGAGCCCATCCAGGCTGGCCTTAGCTCAGCACCACTGTCCTGGGTTGACTGACCTCCCTTTCTGCCCCCGGTTAATACTGAGACCCTATCTCCCAAATGTACCCTGGAAAGAGTCTTTCTAGAACCATGAAGATCTGCAACCATTATGAAAAGGAAGGTGGACCCTGTTGCCTCCCAGAGAAGGAAGGTGTTGCAAAAGTGAGGGCACTGCAGGCAGAGGGGACAGCCAGCGTAAAGGGGTGGAGCTGAGAGTGTGGGACCGTGTTTGAGAAACAGTGTGATTTCTGCAACAGGCATGTAAGAGACTCGCACAGCAAGAGGATGGAAGAAAGGAAGGCTGGCAAGAGACATTTGGGTCAGGCGGCAAAGGGCCTAGACAGTGTCCCTAACCTGAGTCCCTAAATGTCTCCTTGGGGAGTCAGGAGAATATCTTGGAAGTTCCTAAGCAAGTGATGGCATGCTTTTTAAAAAATTGTGAAAGGAGGATGGAGGGTGGTTGTGGGATAGACCGCTGGGGGCAGGCAGAGAGCTAAGGAGGTTGTCATCAGACTGAGGTAAATCTCTCTTCCAAGTCAGGGTGCAGAGCAGGGGAGGACAAATAAGTTTAATTGTTAAAGATATGCACTGTGGGCCCTCGGGTAGGGAGGACATGGAGGGAGAATCTTTAAGATCTGATAGAGATGTCTGGGGCAGGGTGAGGAAAATATCGGAAATGAATGCCTGGCCCCAGTGCTGGGCATTGGGAGGGGGTGCCATGGGCAATGTGGCCTGGGCATGTGGAGATGAAGCAGGCCCGGCCCAGGGGCAGAGCTATCATGACAGGGACCCTCAGTGGAGGCAGTGCCTCCCCTCCTCCCCAGCCCTGTCCTCACCAGCGGATGTCCAGGGCTGACAGAAGCAAGATGGAGGCCCACACTAGAGCTTTTCCCCACAGATGGCCTCTGAGACTGTGGAAGAGCAAACGCTCTCTGAGAAAGAGAGAAGGGAGCAAGGCGCAGAGGGGCTGAGGCACTCAGAGGGGTAAGAGGAGAGACAGAGTGCTCAAAAAAGCCCGAGAAGAGCAAACAGCAGCAGTGCAGGCCAGACTGGCAAGGAAGGCATCGCTTTGGGGAGTGAGTCTGTGGACTTTCTCAGAAACAGGAGGGGCACAAGTTGGAGGAAGCCGCAGGACAAGGGGAAGATTCTCCTAAGAGCGGGGAGTTCTGCGCAGAGGAAAGAAGGAGGATCAAAACCCAAGCAGATCATATGGGGCAGCATCAGGAGATGCAAAAGACTAGACTGAGCAAAGAGGTCCCTGGTGCCTGCTTCTCCAAGGTGCAAGGAGGAGAGAATGGATGAAAACACTGAGAAAGGTTGAAAAGGATGCACAGCTGAGAGACAGCAGGATCCTGTCAAGATTCCTACCTCCTCTCCGTAAAGTACGAGGTAGGGTGTCTGCTAGAGATGTAAAAGCCAGAGGCAGGTCTGAAGGTGGAGCATGTGTGCAACAGCTTTGGGTGGTTTCTCGAGAGCAATGCTGCTCAAATGTGACGTGTCTACAAATCTCCCGGGATCTTGTTAAAAGGCAGTTCTGATTCAGCAGGGCCCGGGCAGGGCCAAGATTCTACATTTCTAACTAGCTCCCCTGTGATGCCAATGCTGCTGGTCCAGGGAACACACTGGGAGGAGCGAGGATTTAGAGAGCAGGGTAAGGAGGGGGAGAGACTGGCATAAGAATTCACCTTAAGGAGAGACCGTCCTTTGATAATCTCACCTGTGGTAAAAGCTGAGCCCTTGATTAATCTGGGAGGGAGCGACAGGCCCTGCAGGTGATGGAGAGGGGGGGCCGGGAAAGGGAAGGATGGTGAAAAGGACAGAGGTCAGCAGGAGGTGGGGGAATCTCCGGGGTGGTAGGAGGCCCAGGTAGGAGGCCTGGGGTCCTTCATCTGGGTCCATGTGGGGAGGACCACTAACTACACACTTGGAGGCCCCTCAAAAAGAGGGTGGGAGTCAGTTGGGGCAGGAAAGTGATATTCTGGGGGTGTCTGAGAGTGACACAGCAGGCAGAGCAGGCCACCCACCGTGCTGTTATGCAGGAAAGTGCTGGGCTCATTCTGGGCTTGTGCAAAGCCTGGCAAGACACACGAGGACAGAACTGGAGAGAGGGGCAGAAATGGCTCTACCCCGGGGGCAAGGGTAAGATGATGTCTGTGCCGGGAACTCATAAAAGAGAATGAAATCTGAGAGGGAAGATTCTCTGGCTGAAGAGAAAGACTCCGAGTCCTAACTCCAAGCCCCAAGTCTCCAACTTGCAATAAACAAGCAAGAGGTTGTGGAAAGGCACAAGTTGGTAGGACAATGCCTTAAGTTTGGGCAACAAGGACTGGGGATGACAGGGGTTGGAGGTGGGGTGCAGGGACTCCGCGGGGCGCCCCACTCTAAGAGACAGGTTTGAGTCCTGGGCTGAGGTTAAGCCGGGGTCAGGTTCATCAGAGAAATGCCCGGGGGACCGCCTGGAGCAAAGGCCGTCAAGAGTAAAAGCTTGGAGGCGTCAACATGAGCAGCAAGTACAGGACCAGGGCGACGGGTACTTGGGGAGGCAGATGAGGCTGCGGAGCCGGAGGACCGTCCTGGGGCGACCCGGAGGTGGCGACGGTTTCCGAGCGCAGCGTGGCAGTGATGATCCTCTTTCCAACCTTCCTTCTCCCAACAGTTGAAGGAGAGGATGTATGTCAGTGGTTTTCAGAAGGCAGTGCCCACAAAACCACCTGGACGTCTTATTAACATGCAGATTGCTGGGCCCCACCCCAGAGATTCTCACACAGCAAATCTGGGCTGGGGCTGATTTCTGCATTTCAAACAAGTTCTCAGGAGGTGTTGATACTTCCAGTTTATGGACCACACTTTGGGTGTGCAAAGTGCTCTGTAGACTCTGCGCCCACACAAAGGCAGGAGTGCCGGAGTCCATTCATTATCTTTGCTGGCTGGGTTTGGACGGAGACCCCCCAGAGAAGGCTGGTGACCTTTTGGAAGTTAGAACTGTGAACTACCCAGTAGGTTTGAGTGGTGATGGTTGAAGCATCTCCACCTTAGTTCACTCAATTAGATCTTTGTTGATTGTTGTTAATCGGATGCTCCTGGAGATCTGTTGATAGGTTAATCGGGTATTCTGCCTATTCTTGAAGATTGTTTGCGGATGTGTTTCATTAAAT